GTCTTCATTCATTAAGTAAAAGATTGCATAAATACGTTTTGTTAAATGCCCACATTTTCGAGAGGTTTCCTGTCTATACCGCTGACAACTCCAGATAAATACTTAAAGCTTTATTACCTCAGTGCCTATGATGTCGATCTTGTGTTGAACTTGTGGAACCCATTGGCGGATGATGGCGAACAGTTCTGGGATTGTGGTCCGAGGGTCTGTCAGAATCTCCATGCAGGCCGGATCATTTGGATCAAAGAAGGTAAACACTATAATAGATATAATAATATAATAAAATGGAGGACATAAATACAGGGATTTATTATCACTACATTATGCTGTGGAATTTTAGTAACTTATAGCTTAAGATTTCTTCTTGTTCTCTGTAATATATTTGGATAGATCTGACTGCTAGGATGAGGAACCCACCATAGTCCTTGGGCAGTGGAGCCTGTGCAGATGGATGCACCATCGGTTTCTTGCGGGGTTCATGAACAGGGCTGATGAACTCAGAGGCCGGCTGGGCCTCTTCCACCTCAGAAGTTTCCTCTTTAGTCATTCTGCTTATGTGATTGGGCCTGTACATTAAAAATGCATAGTTAAAAATAACAATACAGAGTGCAATTTCATAACTTTTATAGACATGTGCTCATAAAATGATTTTTTTTTTCTGGCCAATAATACACTCAAATTAAAAATGCACTTTTCGCAATGTGAAAGCAAAGTAGTGTAGAAAAAAAATCAACCCACTAATGATAACTCGTTAGCAATTTCTTGATTTAATTTGACATTATTTTGGTCCAGACCAAAAAAGAAAAGAATAAATTTAGGTTCGCTTAGCGTTCACACTGTGATTTTTAACACCTAACCTAAAGATACAAAACAAAAGGCAAAAAGATATAGTCACAACCTAATTGGACAGCTTTTGTGATGTATTTTTTGTAACTTTACCAAACATCCAAATCAATGTTGTGTGCAAAGCAAACGCGCTCACTTAATGTGTGAACATAGGGTGGTATTTTTACCAGCTGATCAACTAATGAAGAGCTTATAAAATGTGTAAAGCATTAAAAACAATGCCATGAATTCCTCCGTTGTACACAGAGATCTGTTGTAAGGAGACGGCGGTTGATGCGTGCACTGAACTGTAATGTGCAACATACAACCAGGTTGCATCCTGTGATATCACATCCTGTTTTGGGTTCGTTTAGATGTCTTTGGTCCATGTTGCACACATATATCAATCAAACTGCACCAGAGATTTGAAAGCAGATCCTACCAAGCGTTCACCCTTATTCAATTGAACCGCACTAACAGAGCTATTCGCACCAGAGTTTGTTTTAATCAAACCAAACCTGCCAAGTGTAAACACACCCTAAATGAACTGAGCCTTCTTCAACACTCTCAAAATTCCTTTTGTTTGATCACTGCTCAAAAACAACAGTGAATATATGTGATATGAGACATATGATCATGAACCTCTACGCCACAGTTATCCCTCCCAGCGATGCTCTATGTTTAGTATGGAGACTTGAGGAGCGGATGAGTGGCTCACTGCTTCTATAGCACAGTCTGTTGGAACAGAGGAGAGACCGGACCTCACAAGCCACATCTTACTGGAGACCCATGCTGAATATAAAAGTCATTGCAATTTACTTTGATATCTCAGATGCCTGTAACTGTCTTCTGCTCAGTCAGCCATCAAAAAAACATTCAGGGAATTAATTGGAGAATGCTAGACTTAGCCCAACAATACAGCATGTGTCCTACATTGTTTTATCAAATTCATCTGGAAGTTTCCCCAAATATTTGGAAAGCAGACATGTAGTATTTTTCATGCAACTGATATATGTTATGGTTATTAACATCAGTATATGAAATGCCTGCAATCTATGTGACCAAAGAGAATATTGAAACCACACTGCATCGCAAGTTCATGTTATTTAGAGAAAAAACATTGATCCATTGGAATGAACTACCACTGACATATAATAAAATCAAAATACTTATTAATGGGCTACCTTCAAAAGCCCATTAATCATGATCTTATATAACAGATTTTACTCCTCAACTGAGTTTAGATTTTGTTCTGTAAAAATGTATTTTCTATGATTAATTTATCAGATCTTATTGAGCTATTATTGTGATTCCTTATAATGCATATTTAATGAAATGTCTAGATACCCAGTATCTGATCTGTTCTGAATAGGCCTACCATTTCATCAGAGCAATGATCAAAGTGAATATGAGCTTCAGTATCACTCGCTCATTTTAATAATACATTATGTATTCCTCAAAAGGTTTTTAATTGCTTCTGGAATAAGCTCACACATTAGAAGTTTGTGGTAGTGCTTTCAATGTCCTTCAGTTGCATCAGACTGTGGGAGACAGGATGGTGTTTACACACTACAGAGATGTCAGTTAAACAAACAGGCCACATGGTAACAAATTTTGTGTCTTGTAATGATAGCTGGCACTTCAATCAGAATTCAAATCTTTTTGAAAATGCTATCAATAATCAAACCATTATTTCTGTTAATTTTCATAATGGCTGCAAGGTTAAGATTCAAAGCTTTCTCTACTTCATAATGGAAAATAGACCAATAAGACAATAATATGCAACCACATAATAATATTTCATAACAGTTAAGTACTGTATATATAAACTGCAAATTATGATAATATCTGTGTACAGTTGAATCGTTCATTTTATACACAAAAACTGGAATAAATAACAGCATAAGACTATTATATAAGACTATTATTATATCATTTAAAGGATTAATATAATTTAAAGGATATCTGAGCTGCTGAATATTTAATTTGTATTTTACTCTTGCGCTTTCTACCAAAAAAGGGGCGTATTCAGAAATGGATCGTGCACAAATGAAATCGAGACAGTCTTCAATCTCACAATATTATTGATTCATCTAAAATTTGTATCTCGCGACTAAATATATAAAAACAGATGCAGTGTGTTTTCGTATTCCCTTATGAAGCATGTCAGTCTTGCCCTGTGTCAACAAGAAAACATGGACGCTCCATCACGCAGCACATGAAAAACAAGCAGGCTGTTTTTCTTACGCGGAAAAACAAGATGGCCAGCTATATTTTGCGAACATTTCAGATACTTGATGCAGCGATATAATATCCTTCTTACCTGATAACAAGCCTCAAAGTCGCGATTTCTTCCCCCCTCTTTTGTCAGTCGTTGTTGTGGTATGGAGGATGGAGAGGATGCTGCGCCTTGCCCTTCTCTCTGTCTGCGTCACGGTTGTGACTCACGGCTGGACCACTCTCCTCTCCGCATCTCCTCAACCGAACATGATGCTCATTCTAGAACCTGCTACTTGAGGCATAAACGCTTTTTCTCACACAGTTGTCAAGACAGACTTGAGCAATTCAAATACGAATGCAATAAATGGATAATTCATACAATGGTTGGGTCGACATTTAAAGGGAGACCAGGTATAGTTGTAACGCTTTTTGTTACAGAATCTGTAACTCGCTGGATTTTTGGGCTAGGGTGCTCAAACTTTTATACAAAGCACCCACATTTGTTTACTACAAAAGGCACCAATTCAAACCTCTGCAAGAGTATCACAGCTCTTACAAGCTGATGTCAAATACATGGTGTGCCTTATAATCTATCCCACTGCGGGGGTACATGCTGGGGTAAGTTGTAACAATTAGACAAAATAAGCAAAAACAGCTGCCACCTTATGCAATATGCTTAAAAAAATGGTTTATTGAAACAATCCAAAAGAACAATACAAAACAATGGCTCACTTTCTATGACTGACCACTGCTCAGATCCTCTTTCTCTTTGAAGCAGGAATCGTGTGCGTGTGTGTTTAAATTGGACTATGGAGCAAACTTACTTAACAGTATTTCTGTTTAATGTACACTCAACTCCAGTTCCTCTTCAGGAACTCGAGCTGCGTCGAGAACGCTAGGGGGA